TGTGGAAAGCCCAGTATTTTCACATGAATATGGTGAGATTGTTGTTACTTGGATTGGGGAGATTGACGGAATTGTATAAATTGTTGATGGTATTGTTGGGGCAGTATGGTGTGGGATAGTTATTATTATTAGTATTGTTGTGGTTGAGTAAATTGTTGGGGTGGTATGACGCAGAGTTGGTGCTGTTGTTGTTTGAAACCAGTTTGGACTTGTTTGGTTGTTGTAGTACTGTGTTGTTAGTTTGTGATTGGTTGTTGAGAAAGTGTTGATCGTTTGTAGGGGTGGAGCTAATTTTGGTTTTTGTGTTTGTGTTTGAAAAAAATTTTTTTGTGTATGGTGGGTTGGCGCAGTATTGTACGCCAGGAAAGAAATAGTTGATAAAGTTAAGGTTGAGTTAAAACAAGCAAGAGATCCAGAAACTTTGCTTGAGTATGATTTAAGAAGTGAATTTGTAGTGTTGAAATATGGTGAGATAAAGCTAGTGGGCACTGGTGGTGAAATATAGAAGCAGACAGGTTCATAAAGGAGGACTGCCACGGGCCTTTTCTTATGCAAACAAGAAGACAAGCGAGACTTCCAAACTTGCTTGGCCTTTGCCCAGAGGTCCTATCCCAATGCAACAGTGGTCCTTAAAGTCCTTATGTCCTTAGGCTTATGGCATAGATAGTATGTTAAGAGAGTGGTGAGCGCTTCTTCCAGGAAGATTACCATAAAAGGAAATTTTCCAAGAATCAGTGGTGAACGGGTGAGAGTTTTTTACATATATAATGATTTATCTTAATATCTTAATATTAATTATGTAATATTTTAACTACTCTATTAATAAAGATTATGAGAAATGCCTCACTTAACAAAAAAAAATATTTAAAAGATTTTCAGTTTCCCAATTAAAATTTCCTAAATTACACTTATAAATATATTATATAATTTCATCTATTCAAAAATATAAAATAATAAATGGATTCAAACAAACTCTTTTTTGTTTCTCTCAAGTTTTTAAAAAACTTTTTTTTTAAAAAATTTTAGCAAGTCAAAAAAGGGAAAGCTTGTTAAGTTAACTTTTTTCAAAGAAATTTTTTTCTTTTCTTTATCACTATCAAAAATAAAAACTCTTTTCTAGAAAAGATTTTTGGTTGTTTACTACCATATACCACTACATACAATACCCCCCCAAATACTACCCCCACTAATAATACCAGGTAGTATTTAAGAAAATTGTTGCTTGATAATTGATTACTACCCGGGTATATTAATATAATAATAAGTAAGACTAATATGTATTTTGAATTTTATAGTAATGATATATTCTGCCACTAATACTATCCCCCTTCTAGTAAAATACCCCCCAGGTATTAATCAATTTATTAGGAGGTAAATTGATTAATACCCGGGGTATTGTATACAGTGGTATATGATAGTTTCTTTTCTTTAAGATGAAAAGTTATCTTTACTAAAATTAATACAATAAACTTATCACACTTTAAGTCTTATTATACATAAGTCAATTTTAAGAGTTTGGTTGAAAAGACTCAAGCTATATAAGAATAAGACTCTTGATTAGATTTATTAAGACTTAAAAACTTTAATAATGAAGATTGTATAGAGAAAGATCTTTGGTTTGACTTCTTTTTTCACTTATATATGTGGATATGGAAAAACCAAAATCAGTTTATCTTCTTCAAAAGATTATTAAATTCCTTTCTACCAATCAATCACATCTCACAAAAATTATATTATTTATTATTAACGTCACAACAATAATAACAACAATAACAACAAAACAATAATAACAATCTGTTATGTATTAATAATTAATTTATAATTTTAAAGAGATTAATAATAAGGACACTAATGTATAATACTTTTATGGCTTTTAAATAAAACACTGTATATGTAGTAATTGTACTCTGCTTGATATTTTTGCTTCTAGATTTGGCAGTCTAAGCCAACCAAATCCTTTGGAATGTCTACTAAAAGATTTGAAGTTATGCTTTACTTGGCCATAAGGTCTTTAGATTTGATAGTTTATGCCAATTAAAGATTACAGTTTCAAAGTATTTACTAGAAAATACATATTCACATTTAAATTCTCTCAGAACCTATAGCTATGTAAGCCAAAATTGTAATATAAAGAGTTATTTATTAATTATTAATCTGTATCAAATCAAATTGTTTTTTTTTTCTTCTACCAATATTTCTAAATAGAAATATTAACTACTCAATACTATTTTAGATATGTAATAATTTTAATATTTGTTTTTTTTATTACTTAGATGGTTATAAATAGTAGGCAAGCTAGTATTAAACTTATTAATCATTTGATTATATAAGAGATGTTATTACTTTTTTTTTGTAATAATTTTTTAATTTTTTAATTTAATAAAGTAATATTTTTTTTAAAGGTAATATAAGTATGATTGTTAAAGAGTCAAGATTATTCTAATTGTTGTGTTTATGATTTTATTGATTCAGTTTCAATAAACTATTTTATAATATTATCTATAAGCTTTTTATATATTTGATATTAGTTATGATGATATAGTAGATATCTTTTTTTTTATAATTTATAGTTATAATTATAACTTTTTTTTTGTTTTGAAATTAATTCTTTATTAACAGGTATTTTCTTAGTAATTATGTAAAAATTTATACAAATTTTTTGAAAGTTTAATTAGTTTTTAAATTAAATTTTATTTTTTAAAAAAAAAATTGTTTATAAACTTTTATTTATTCTTTGTATTTGAAATTAAAAATATTTAAATTAATTTTTTAACTACAAAAAAATAATTATTAATTATTTTTATATTTTGTTAAAAAATTTATTAAACAATAATTAAAAAAATTATTATATAATTTTTTTATATCTTTTTTATCAGTAAAAATTTATTTAATTTATTGTAAATAATTTATAATTAATAAATTTTTATAAATAAATAAATTTTTAAAATAAACTCATTTATTAATTATTAATATAAATGTATATACATATTTTTTATTATACAAAATAAATAAATATATTTAATTTAAATATCAATATATTAATTTTTAACAAAAACAAACTTTTAAAAAAATTTAAAAAATCAACAATTAATCTATAAAATATTTAAATAAAAAAATCATAAATATATATATATATAATTTTATTAACTATTATCTAATGAATTTATTTATTAAAATAAGTTAATAATTTATACATAATTATTATTTATATATTTTTTGTTTTTAAATTTAAATTTAATAATAATATTATTATATAACAAAAAAAATTTTTTAATAATAATAATATTTTAAATATTAACTAAGAAATATATAAATATTGTTTGTTTTAGTAATTATTTACAAAATTATAAGTCAAAAAAAATTCAAAAAAAGGTTAAAAACTTTTATAACAAATGGTATATATTAAATTTTTATTATATTATAGTTTTTAAATTTTTATTATAATATTAATTAATATTTAATAAGTAAATTTATATTATAATTTAGGTTAAACTTTTTTTGTTTATAAAAGAACAAAAAAATTAAATGTATATACAGTATAAATAAAAATTTTTTAAAGAAAATAATTATTATAATTATAATTGTTATAAGGTTATTATAATTTATATAAAATTTATTATTTTTAAAAAAATTGATAAAGAATTTTTTAAGATATTAATTAGAATTCAATAAATATTTTTTAATAACATAAAGTTTTAAAATTTTTTTCGAAAAATTTTAACCAGATTTTTATCATTATTAGTTTTTTAATATTTAAAAATTTTTTACATGTTATTCTAAAATTTAAAAGAAAAAATATTTTTTAACAAAGTTTATATTATCACCATCTTTTAATTTTAAAAGAATACAATAATAAAAAAATTATATAAAATTAAAATTTTTCATAAAATTTTTAAAGTATATCTAATGACTATAATAATAATAATATATAATGTACATTATATTTAAAATTATATTGAATGGAATAATCAATTGATTAATAAAAATTGTAACTCAAGATAAAAAAAAACTTGATAAGAAATTAAATTAATTATTTTTTTTTATTTAATCTTATAAATATTATTAAAAAGAAGTGAAAGGAATGTATAAATAAAATGTCGTCAGGTGATCGGCAATCGGATGACTTTAAGGTGGCATGTTATAATTCTATTAATATAGTAAGAAGGAACTGTGTTATTGTTTCCGTGTTATAAAGAAATTACAATATTTGTTTTTGTTTTCAAAAACGGGAAGATCAATGCTTTGTCTAATACAAATTTGAATTTAAATTATGTAATACTGACTACTATAAACTATAAATGTTGCCATCTTTGTTTCCTTATATAAGTAAAAAAAACTAGAAAATCTGTACTACGTCATATGTGCTGCAACAACGATTTAAAAATGTGACTTTGAGAGAAAGGTGCGCAAGTACGCTTTTTTCAAACACACCAAAATGAGCAGAAGAAACTCGGATCTGATTATATTTGATTATGGACCGCACACAAGTCATTATCATCAAGTACATGAGTCATTATTTGACAGTACTCGTAAGTATTCTATCTTAACAGGCAGGGTAAATACAAATTTTGCTTTATTATATATCATTTTTTAAATAAATAAATATTTTTTTCTTAGGTTCCTCAGAGGAAGGCAAGTGTATATAGTTAATCTAGTTTACTTTGTTTACATAGCGGAACCAAGACGTGACGTGTCCCAATGTGAAATGTTCGTTTAGGTTCCAACAATGTTACCAGCGACCATGACCTTGCGGTACAATTACAACTAGCGTATGACGAAGAGAGTGGAGAGACATCTTTTCAAGGCATGATACACTTACTCAAGTTTTTTAAGAGAATGTAATGGTACACGAAGTTAAAACTTTCTTTGGTTTGTAGACTTCACCTTCCAGAATAGAGGTCAGGCCGATTCAACAAGTGCAAGCGAAGATGTCACCAATGATGAAAACATTGCAAGGCAACTGAATGAAGAATTAAATGGCTCTAACATCAGATCAGTCGACAGTAAGTTTTGTTCAAGATTTCAACCAATTTTTTTAGCATAAATTAAGAATTTCGTTCATAGTTTCATCATTGGGAAGTCCGAATGCCATCACTCGAATACGACGACGACGTGATCATCGTAACCAACCTTTAAATATTGAAGGTAGTATGCATTTACTATGACGTACGTCTATCGATTTACTGTTCTTTATATGCTAATATTCTGAACTGAATCGTGCCTGACTACTAGACTTAAATATAAATATCCCATCCTTACTTGAATTTCCTGAAGGTAATTTTCCTATAAAGACATGATGTAATAGCACGTATGGGGGCAATTATTTAAGATTTAAATCAACGTTTATGTAGCAATTTATTTCAATGACAACCTAACTGAAGGTCACGAAGAACCAAGTGGAGGTAACATTTTCAAAGTGCTAATAATATTTCATTTTAATTTTTGAGATGTTTATCTATTTACGGTTTACAAATTACACATTCTATTTGGGATCAATAAAAATTTATTCCCAAAAGGATTAAATCGTCGAGGTACGGGATATTATCCTTATTCATTGATCTATGGATATTATTTTGACCCGAGTCCTTCTCACACTTCTTTTTATCTAATCCTTTACCAAAGATTTAAATTCGATTATCTTTAGATTTAAAACGAAATTGCATCAAAGGAATCCCGATGCAAGAAAGCTACGTATTCAACTTTCATCAAGAAATTCGGATATTATGTTTACCGAATTCATTAGTGCCATTAGGCAATTTAAGGAAAAGGATTTTATATTGAAGCCAGAAATTGTCTTCAGAAATGAGTAAGTGTTTGATTTTTTTTGAGTTTGGATCGCATCCTTTCTTATAACCTATTTATTTTTCATTTTTCACATTCCTAGACCCGCGTTAGACGCCGGTGGAGTGTTTAATGATACAGTTCGTCAAATTTTGGAAATATTTATGTCACTAGAGAATCCAGAGTATGGTGGCGATGGACATCTATTTACGGGAGATTCATCCAAGCTTATCAGTTCCACAGCACCGGTTCATTTTATGGATGAACTTGACGTGAATATAGTCAATTTCTTTGTTTCACTTAGTCAATTCTTTAATGCTATTTCAATAATGTATAATCTCGGTTCACCAGGCATTTGGAGATGTATTGTTCCTGGCGGTAATCCACAACGCACCATTTCCTAATGACCTTGATATTACCCTGTTTAAGTACTGTTTGAACATGGAGAACACTATATCATTGGATGACTTAAAAGGTTTCAGCATGCCAATGTACAATCTTGCTAGAAGGGTATATGATGCACCACAAAACGTGAATTTGTCAACCATAGAAGGATTTGATCAATGGGCAGAAGAGAAAGAAATCAATGTTGGTCATTTGTTACTTCGAGAACATTGTTCTGAGTCATTGTACATTTCTAATATGGATATTTCAATCACTAGGCTATACAAATGCAATTGTATTCCAGATCAAGAGAAAATCTAAAGAAGTTGGCCAATTTAATTTGTGAGGATGTGTTGATTAATAGTCGCATCAATCAGCTTAAAGCAATATACAAAAAATTTAACAAATTTGGATTTTTTGATGTATGTGATCATTGATACCTTTGTACATTGATTGTTAATGATTCAACAATTTCGCCAACTATTGTAAATTTGATCCCCAGGCTCTGAAAGCGAAAAAAGTTACAATTGAGGACATTAAGAATTACTTTTATCGTGAGATAGTAACACCGAATGACATCATCCGGAAATTGACGTTTGATGAGAACCTGAATCACAGACAGAGAAATGTTCGGGATTGGCTCATTGATTGGTTAAGAATGCAAGATAAAACAAAGTTACAGGAATTTTGTAGATTGGTTACGGGCTTTAAAAACCCTAGGGAGCGAATAAAGGTATATATCCAAATATTGCTATTTGTTATTTTCTTTATTTCAGTTAACCTATTGTAATCTGATTTTGCAAATGTTTCTTTATACAGGTATCTTTTAAGGCTCACATTTACCACGAGCCCAGAGAACTTCAACTTACGCCCAAATTTGTCACATGCTTCCAAGAGATGAAAATTAGCGAAGGTTTCTCATCACGTCAAGAATTTTGTACAATCATGAACGCACAGGTTGATCAGTCAATCCATGATAATAGATTCACCACAGCCTAACATTGTATTTTAATAGATGACTTTAGATTATTTACTATTGTAATATCAGATGTATAACTGTTTACCAATTATTCATTGGAGATATTTAAGTAATTTATGATGGAACTTTTCTAGTGGAAAACTTTTGAATGCACCTTCAAAATAATTTATTTGCAAATCACCCTACTATCATGAAAATTATATTGCTGCATGATCAAACAATACTGAATCATACATAAATTTGTATTTTATTATATATTAGTATCAAATAAATTGGTTATGCAAATTATTTAACCAAATTCATTAGTCATATGATCCCACATGCAAATCACATCCAATTAATGTCCCGAGAGAAAGGTCATTCTATCTTGACCAATAAAGTACCTGCCTCAACGACATCACCTACTTTAACCAGAGTCTTGATCACACCATCATGTCTGCTATACAATCGGATCTCTGTTTTCATTGATTCCATTGTCAATATAGGTTGATTTTTTGTTATCTTGGAACCTGATGGAACCAATAATTTCAAAATTCTGCATGGCATTGGTGCCAAGTATGGAGACACTAGAGGATATATACAGAAACATGCGTTAATAAATGAGTCTGGATGCTAAGGGAAATGAAGAAAGAAAGCGAATGGACCGAAATAGTGAGAAATAGAGGTCTATATGTTACATACTATCATCTTCATTACTGGTGGAAGGTGCTTTCAGCTTGTTCTTTCTGATAAATTTGTATTGTTCGGAACTTCTGTAGTCATGAACAAAAACTTCTTGTTGCTGAGTGTGTTTCGATCCATTTGCAAGTTCGAAGCTTCTTTGTTCACCGTCTGAAAATAAAAGAAACAATAGTTAATAACCTTGATGAAAACAGAGGCGAATATGAGACGATGTTTTCCTAATGAATACCGACCTATGGTGCATATCAATGTACCATAAATGTAATCTAAAAAAGTAAGAATTATTTGAGAATTTTATTACAGATGGATATAAGAATGCTTGTTCATATTATGAAAAATACAAGCCATTTCGGTCATTCGTTGTGACTTCGTTCAAAAAGACATCATGTGCTATGCTATTTTTTTCATCTGACCAAACGGTAAACTTGTATTGTAAGTTATTACTATTACTCCGCTCTCCAGCTCTGCCAATGAATTCATATTCCAACTCTTCAACACGACCGTTCTCAAGCAAATATACATCGTTAGGTTTCTTATATTTCACGTATCTCCAACCTGCAGGAATGTGATGTAAGGTCGAACGATCTTTCTCCCTCAAATACCAAAACCACAAAAATGGAACAACAATCAAGTTCTTGGGCAAATCCCGTTGTTTCCAAGATTTCATGAAACTTTGAGGAAAGTTTTTTTCAATAAATTTCGTGTTGTATTCGCCCGATAAAAAATCAGTGCAATGCAGTACGCTTTTCAAAAATGACTGATTGGTAACCAGACCAAGACAGACAGTGTTTCGAAGAGCATATGTCATCTTTTGAAGTGCTTGTTTCCTGGTAGGAGCCCATGCCGAAATTTTCGAAATTAATGGATCGTAATATATTGATATCTCCGATCCTACATTTTTTTTCGTGGTACGTTGTAGAATAAATATAATATAATAGACTCATCCAAATGAATTTCACGAATACCTGTCCCAACGCCGGTATCATATCGAACATGTGGTACTTCACATTGTTTCCACTGGCGTACTTTTCCCGTGCTTGGGAAGAAATTATTACATGGATCTTCCGAATAAAGACGACATTCAATCGCATGTCCCTAAATTAAATTATAAATTATCTCATACTTGAAAAACCAAACTCGCACATTTGACGCATCTTAAGCATCGTTTACCTTTGATTCTATCGTTGGTAATACCGATCGAGACAAGTCATACCCTGCATTAAAAATAATTATCAATCAATCTGATTCTCGGCTTAACATTAAAAATCATCATGTAAAACCTTGCGCAACCAGTATCTGGAGCTCAACCAAATCTAGCCCGGTCACAAGTTCGGTGATCGGATGTTCAACTTGCAAACGAGTGTTCATCTCAAGAAAATAGAACCTTTTCTCTTTTTCATCCTCCAAATAAACCAATTTTTGTTAGAAAAAAAAGATCCGACGTGTTAAAGTCCAAAAAATAAACTCACCACAATGAATTCGACGGTACCGGCTCCAGAATATTTCAGAAACTTTCCAATTTGAATTGCCACCTTAAACATTTGATTTCTCAGATCTTGATCCAAAGATGGTGAGGGCGTTTCCTACAATTGACAACCATTTCTTGATGACCGGTGAAAATGTAGTTTAGAGGAAGAACCATATTCAATGGGTAATACCTCGATCACTTTCTGGTAACGGCGCTGCACGGAACAATCTCTTTCAAAACAATGATAAACATTTCCATATTCATCTCCAAATATTTGGACCTAATAATGACCAAAAAAATAAATAAAGGTAATAATGCGAAAAAATATTCTTACGAACCGACCTCAATATGACGAACTGAATCGAAATACTTTTCTATTAAAAGTCGATCGGAACCAAAGGACCTAAGCGATTCTGACTTTGCGAGTTCTATCTCTTCCAATAGTCTTGTGGTGATACGGAAGCATATAACATTAAATGGCGAAATTGTTGGGCGTAAAATAATGCACATAATTCGTGGGATGATGGATACTCTTGCTTACTTTGATTCTTCGTACACCACACGCATGCCCTTACCACCTCCTCCGGCAGAGGCTTTTAACAAAATGGGAAATCCTTAGATAACGATATAGATTGAATTCTATATTAATTCTTGCATGGAAACCTTAAACATTAATATGTTTACATTATTACCAATTTTTTTTGCCTCGTTAATCATTACTTCTAAACTTTGGTCATCACCGTTGTAACCAGGTATGACTGGGACAGACGGCAAATTCTTGGATAGCAGATTTTTGGCCTCGATCTATGACATATTACATTTTTATATATTTGGTTTTGTATTTCTTTCCATCACGTGCAATATATAGAAACGATTCATTCAAGAAATAGAATAAATAACCTTGTCACCAATTGCCAATATTGACTCTGGGCGAGGACCAATAAAAATAAGATCATATGTAGAATAACGTCTACCAGCCTCAGCAATTTGCTTAGCAAATGTTGCATTTTCGGATAAGAATCCGTATCCTCGAGAATATCAAATATCCGGATTAATTATTTGAATTACATTAGAATTCAGGAATGTGGCGAACCAACCTGGGTGAATTGCTTGAGCACCTGTGCTGTAGGCTGCTAAAATGATTTTTTCAATTTGCAAGTAAGATTCGCTTGCGGATGACGAACCAATACATACTGCCTCATCTGCCGACTTTACAAATAATTCATCTCGATCGCTGTCAAGTAAAACAATGGATAATAAACTCCGATCATCGAAAGCGAATCCCACGAGACGGATAATATTCACAAACATACATCTCTGAATAAACTGCAACCGTTGTAATACCTAAGCGCCGACAGGTATCTATAATTCTACATGCTATTTCGCCGCGATTGGCAATCAAAATTTTTTCTATTGTCTTGGACATTGAGAAAAGGAAAGGACAATTATTTGAAATTTCTATTCTTGGCTAATTATTTACTTGGTGACACAAGTATGGTGGCATACAGATTTTCATACAGCAATTGCGTTAAGTTACCACAGTTCTGTACATAATCATAATTTTTTTAATGTGTTCTAAATAATTTAAAAAAAATTTTTTTTTATTTATTCTTTTTTTTTTTTCAAATCAAATCAATAACAATGTACCGTAGTTATTAAATTGCAAGTATTAAAACTATAAATTTATTTTATACTATAATTATCATATATAAACTTTTTTTATATATCATTTTTCGATTATTACCTTTAAATATACTGCACATGTTTGTAAAATAAAGGTAAAAAATTCTAAAGCTTGAGTAAATTAAAATTTTGAAAATTATTTGAAATTGTAACGTTAAACACTTGCACTTTAAATCATATAATTATATTTTAATAAAATAGTATGATATAATTCGAAATGAATTTAAATAAACGTAATATTGGTATTGTATATTGTATACAAGTAATTATAAACATTTGTATTTTTTATAAAATTTGGTTTTGAAATTAATAATTAGATATGATTTATAAAATTTTTTTATTTGATTATATTAAATAAGAACTAAAATGAAATGATTTTTTTACTATTGTTATTAAAACTATAAAAGTTTAAATGTAACATAACAGTTTAAATAATAAGTTTATGTATATTAGTTTAATTAAAAAATTCATTATTAATTATATATCTTTTTTTTTTTTTTTTTTTTTTTCCCTCAATCAGGTTGGTGTCGTTTATTTATTAAATCAAAATGAACCATTACAAATATATTATTAATTATATATCTTTTTGCTAAAAAAATTTTTTATAATAATAATCTTTAAAGAAATTTTACTATTATATTAAAAATCTTTATAAAAAATAAATTAATTTCAATTTATTAAATTAAGTTAAAATATAAATTTTAAAAACTTTTATAAAAAAAAAATATGCAAATAAATAACAATCAACTATTAATTATATTATAAATCAACATATATGTTTATTAAAAAAATAATAAAAATTAATACTATAAGTATAATTAAATTGGATTTTATATACGTATATCAAATTCAAAAACAATAATATAACTTAAGAATCTTATTTAAATTAAAGATTTAATTTATAATATAATATAATTACATAATTTATATTACAATTTAAAGTACTTTTCTATCTATTTCAAATTTCTTTTTTAGAAGTTATAAATATAAAACTTATATCTTCTTAAAATATATAATTAAAAAAATATATTTCAAAACTTTAAAATAAAAATATATATTTTTAAAAACATATTAATTCTAATAACAAACCTTATTTTATTTTATAAATTATAAAAAAATTTAAATAAAAAAATTTTTTTCTTGTTTTCAAAAAAATATAATATAAGTTAATTAATTTACAATTAGATTTTAAAAAGCTAATATTATTTTCATCTTTATAATTAAATTAGAATTAAATTAAATATCTTTTTTAACATTAGAAAAATTTGTAAGAAATTAAAATATTTAATAAGTTAAACAATCATATTATTATTTTAAGAACTAAAAGATTTTTAAAACTTTATATTAATTAAACAGAGTTAAAAATTTTTAATATATAAAAAACTCTTTTTTATATATAATATTTTTTTTTACTTTTCAATATTCAAAAATCCTTTATACTTTTTTTATCTTTACTATAAAAATCTTTAAAAACCTAAAAAAATATACAGCTATATTGGAATAAGACCTCTTATAAAAAAAACAAGTTTAGAATTCTTGTTTTTTTCTTGGATTGCATTAGGAAAGACCTATAACATTTGCTTCTTTATAAATTTTCCTTGAGGCTTCTTCTATTTTCATTTTTTATCAATATATATTTCTTATTAAATAAATAAATTTTCTTTTTAAATGGCTTCTTTTTTACTTAAAAAGTCAAACTTTATATTAAAATTATTATATTGTTAGTTTGAAATGCCAATAATATATATAATACTTACTTCTTAATATTATTCAACATATAAGATACAATTAAATTTAATTTTTCAAAATACAATGAAAGCATATTGAAAAGTATTTTGAGATGAAAATTATATATTTCTTATATTTTGAAAATTAATTTACTTCACATAAATTTAAAGAAGTACAAAAGAACCTTTGAGTTTTTTATAAAAAACAGCACATATTAAGTTATGGTAATTGACTTAAACAAACAATAGATCTACTAATACAAAAGCCAAAAGACAGATTAAATTTGAAATCTTTTTGTAAATGCTTTATAATGTGGTCAACATTCTCCTTTAGTCAATTTTTTTGGAAGTGGAATTAAAATCTTCTATACAAAAAATCAAAAATTTTCATTAAAAATTATAATTAGTTTACTTTTGTTAATTGATCATTATTTTAAATTCAATAAATCAAATATTATTAAATATTAAAACAAATTTATACTATTAGTATACTATACAATAATCAATATAAACAAAATCATTTTTGATAAAAACAATTAAAACAAAATCATATTATTAACAATTAAACCAATTACTATATTAACTATTAAATATATTAATACAATAACAATAACAATTATTATAATAACAAATAATATTACATATATATTTTATTATCTATAGAAATAAAAAAACCAAAGAGATAAAGCAAAAATAAATTTATTCAAAGATCTTTTGAAGAAATAATTAATTTTCTATTTATAAATTTTATAGTTTATTTGATTTAGTTTTAGTTTTAATAATATTTTTTTTAAAGAACTAAGTTGTAATATACATATGAATTTTATTGTTAAGTCAATTAAGACTACAATTATCTATTGTTAGCCTGGTAAAAGTCACATGGTATAGTCACGTACCCTGGAAATTTAGGATAGCATTAGTAATTAGCATAG